CCGAAAGGTCATGTGCCCAAACAATTCTGGAAAGTGAGAAAAAAAACATAGTCCGCTAATACCTCACCCCTGACGAGCAGATGACTCAAATCACCGCCATCTGCAAACGCAGAAAAATAAATCGAGACAGCAAAAGAAGCCGGATGCAAGTTTCTGTCAGGAGCCTTATCTCAGTGCTGCAGAAGTGGTAATATAAATCAGATAATCTTTGATTTAGTCTGAGATTATATTAAAAAAAAAAACACGTAGCAGCATCGAATGGCACCTCATGAAAACCCTTTAAAGGTCTTCCTTAATATTAGCAACTAAGTTTCACTTATGTTTATTATTTTGTCTTATTATCAAGTTACTCACAGCAGCAGTGTTTGCCACCAGTCTAACTGCTCATTTGTGTGACCCCCAAGGTTTGGGGGGGGGGGGGGCTGTTGGTCACAATCGGTCACTTCAAAAGGGTGATTTTTTTATTGTTTAGTGTGGCCACAAAGTTGACTGAGTCACTCCATGGCTCCAGGACTGTGTATCCTAATGCAGTCTGGGCTTCATTAAGCAGGGGTCCCACATTCAGGCGAGTTTTGTGATCATGCATGGGGACAATCAGTGGTTTATGCTGCCAAGCAGATAAGTTGCTCTTTTTTCAGATTATTTCTATTCTGATCCGGTCCTCCTTGGTCATCTAAAACATGAATGTGACTACAGGCTGGAAAGTTAATGACCCAAATCTGTAATTAAACATCCAAGCCCCAGGCAGATATTTAACCTAATTAAATAATAATAACTTCTTGTGGATCAAGTGGTACAAATGGACATGAATTGTAAGATCTGTAAGATACTTTGGGTAACTCTCTGCTAACCAGGTACCATGATGCAATTCTTCATGTGCCAGTGAGGCAGCCAATAGCGACAGCTTGGAGCCAGTCGGCCGTGGTCTTCACATGTCCAGTGTAGAATGGCGACATGCATTAACATATCACACATACAATGTCAGAGTTCAGCAATTCAGGTCCAGGGTGTAAAAGTCCAGACCAAGATTTTGTTTACTCAACTGGTTGGTTGAAACAAAATGCTGGTCTGGAACTGAATTACCTGACTCTACAATCTGTCTTAGAAATTCTGACATATGCGAGCACATCAGCAATTGTGTCTAACTGCCTCAAAGTAGGCTAAAATTAAACTTGTCTTGGTGATGGTTGAGACACACAGTGTCAGTTTTCTTTTTTGTCCATCCACCGGCAGGGATTCTAGGATTTAGCTAATGATATGCTTTCTGTGTACCCCTGCCCCGTGCCCTATGCATCCTGGAATAGGCTCCAGGTCTCCACTGAGACCAAGATAATCAGTTGAAGGCTGGCTGACTGGCTGGATGATTTTTCCAGTAGGTTACTATGTTTCAGATTTGCCCCCTCTAGTGGATACAGAATGAAACTAGTTATTAATGTTCTTGCTTCTGTGATGGTCATATATAGTGATTATCGCAAAAATAAATGCAGCATAAATGAAGAATAATAATGATATTGTAGCACCGGAGCATGCTGAGACATTGTAAATAGCCCCTTGTGTTATTGTTAATACCTGTGTTTCCGATTGCCGAGTGTGTTTGCCGTGTCTTGTGTGAACCCTGTCCAATCTTTGCATGTCTCTAGCTCTCGTACAAATTACCCACTGCGTGTGTACTGTACAGTGCAGCGTCTGACCTCCGTGTGTTTCGCTAGTGTGTATGATTCAGGTGCTTGGTCAGTGCGTGTGTTAATCTTTTAAAGGGCTATAGTACAAGAGTGTCGTTCTCCTCTAAATAAAGCCTCTTCGCTTTTGCTCCTGCAGCGATGCCTTGTTCTGCCAAATGCCAGAGTATTCATGTTCTTTTTTTTTTCCGTGTGTGTAGCAGTCATGGGGAAAGATAAAGACAGGGGCGTACCTAGAAATTATGGGCCCCTTGACAAAATGTAACTTTGCCACACCTGTACCCCCCCCCCCACCCCCCTCCCCGGCTTGGGTTGGCATTTTCAAAACAAGATTTTGGAGCCCCGATTAAGTGGTGGGTCCCCTGAATCTGTCAGTGTTTCCATACCAATGCCCCACCTGTTAAGTTTCAGGTACGGAAAGATGACCTTGGTATGATTTTTGCTATTTATCAATTTTAACCAAAAGTAAGTTGTGTAACAAAATAATTATTGAACCACATGAAATCACATCACTCATAGCATCCCTGTTACCTTACATTTGACATATTTAGCAGATGTTTTTGTCTAGAGCAGTGAAAAATGAGGCAAATATTACATTACAAACATACGTGCTGTATGAAGAGTTGACTAGGCATAAGTTCGGCTACACTGAGCTTCCAATGAATGCCCAGGTAGAAGTGCAAGCAGTTTTGGAACATTATTGTAATATTTGAGTCAGACAAGGCAGGTAAGACAAGATAAAATGTTTTTTGAACTAAAAGTATGGTAATGCATGCAGGCTTGCTGCATGGCATTGTGACATTTCTGTGGAGCACACATTGTATGGAAATATTTCACACACAGCTGATATGACCAAAGTTCCTGTTTCCTGTTTTGTTTTTTTGGAGATGGGGGGGGTCGGTTTGGGGGAGGGGTGTACGTGTACAAGTTACAAAGAAGGTATACACGTGTGGTGAAACCTTCGTGCAACAACTCGAAACGGCTTCGTTAACCTCAAAAACATTGTGCTTTTTTCCGTGTCTGGCCCTGTAACATTTTGTACCACAGTCTGTTGAAATTTATGCAAAACCTTTTAGTTAATGGTTTACAATTTGGTCTCAACAGTGTCCTTTTTGCCCTTTCATTCTGTTTATTTAACACAAATAAGAAAAAAGATGAATAAACAGACAGATTTGGTACGTTTGGCTGTGCCCTGCACGAATAAAGTTTAATTTTGTGTATCTGTTAATGCATAACCTTCAGTAAGACTTACGTGTGGAATTGTGTGCAGCTTTAGTACAATTAGGGTAATTCTAGAACATGCTTTGGTAGCAGTGATTTCATGTGCAGAAGGGGAAGTGAAACTGATTTTTAGCATACAATCTGCTGTCAGCTGGGGTCTTCTGGTTTCAAGGAGAGATGAACAGATGTCATTTATAGCTGCGGCTTCTACGCCAAAAACACCTTAAAAACATTAGATTAAGAATATGTCTGCAGCAATAGGGGGACATAATTTTAAATGTAGGTACAATGACACAAAGGTTTCCTTCTGTTCTAATATCTAGGAGATGCAGTGATATGGAAACTACTCCACAGGCTAGTAGGAAGTTCACCTGATGTCATAACAACAGGAGGGCATGGAAGTCTTGGAAGAATCCAGTGCATGCATGAACATTTCTATCCCACAGAACCGGCCCAGTTTTGAGACATTAGAGGTACAGGGAGACAGTGCTACCATCAGTGTTGGGCATTTCAGGTCCAGAAGCTACAAATCCAGACCAAGATTTTGTTTCTACCAACCAATTGAGTACTCTATGACTGTGACTCTTTATGCTCAGCTGGTTGGTAGAAACAAAATCTTAGTCTGGATTTGTAGCTTCTGGACCACAAATGGCCAACACTGGCTACTTTCTGAACCATGCACTCTGATAGACTAGCTACCCTAGCTTGTATGCACAAGTATTTCTAACATTAATAAAGTTTATCTAATCTAATCTAAGGTGGAACAAACTGAGCAGCTGAAAATTGTCCCTCCACCACGTGAGAAGTTTCACTCTAAATGTTTCTCATGTATGGCAAACTGATAGAGGGATGAGCGACCAAACCACATTCGGCCATCGGATTCCGTCTCAGCTTTCAAGAAATGCCTCAAGACCCATCTGATCCAAGAACACCTCCACAAGCCTAATACCACTCCTGAATACTCATAGTGTCGCACATTCTGGTCATTGAATAATTGTTTCATTAGGTTCTTGCTTTGTTTTGGAAGATGTTGTGTAGCTCCAGCTCCTATCCTGCTTACACTTGTATCTGGGCATTGTCTGGAAGCTCAGGCTAGCTACACTTACATCTAGCCGTCTGCTTAACAGCACATTTGTTTGTACCGTGCGTTTGCCTCACTTCTATGTTTCTTTGGACAAAATCATCTGATAAATAAAAATGAATGGAAAATGTAATTTGTGTCTTGGACTCATTGCTTAACGGACTGGAGTCAAGCAGATGAGCACTGATCTGGGATCTGCATGTTCCGGCATGGCGATCCTCAGCAAAGGGTTACGGTCCATTGGGTGTAGCAGGCCCCCTCAGTATTGAGGGGAGGGGGGACAGGGTCCCCCTCAGGCCTCTTCCAGTCCAGGGCCTGGGAAAACATACCTGTTAAAATTCTTAACCCACACAGCGATGGCCATGGGTGGGCAGACAACCTGTAGCCACACCCCTGCGGGTGGCATTGGTCCAAATTGTTGACTGGGGAGTGGGGGGGAAGGGTGTTGTGGCCCTAGTTAGATGGGGCCCGATCCCCCTCACGCTACCTACTCTGGATGATCACTTGTGTACGTGCGGCAGTCCTGGGAGGCCCTGCTTCTGTGAAAGAGACAGTGACGTGCGGTGTGGTTTTACATTCATACTTGTTTGCGACCACAGTTTGTACGTTATGGCTAGAAAGATACTATTCAGTGTTCTCATAAGCAAAAGCCACAGCAACTGCAAAAAAGACTAGTAAAAACATGTTATGTTGCTGTGGTAACTCCATGCTTGTGATCGGATTTTACCTTGATTGACACATTCATTACTTTTCAGACACTGGAGGAAGGTTTGCACCATAGGAGTGAAGTGGAGTACGGTGTATTTGTATACGTTTCTCACATTTGCACTTGTGATATTTTATTTCTTTGCATGCATTGCTATCTTTAACAAAATGGACCCCAGCCTGTGTGTCATGTGATTAGCACTAGACTGGCATACCATTTTTGGGTAAGGGGATCACTGGAATTACAAGCCTTGATTCATTCATTTTTTTTTTCATGAATGCTTCATGAACAACCAAGGGGTTTGTGGAAAAAGTTCGTGTTTATTGTTTTATTGGTTTATCTACAAATACAGATTTTTTTTCAACATTTTGATAACAATGATTGCCCCACAGCTCTACGTATATAATACATTTTTATTTGTGGGCATCTTTCTAAATCCCAAGGTCACCTTACATAGACTAAAAAAAACAAACAATAAAAACCAAATAATTAAAAAAAAGTTATTTACATAATTATATAACAATTGGGTTGAAGCGAGTAAGCCAATTTAAACAGATGGGTTTTGAGTTTTGATTTAAATAATGAAAAAGAGTCAATATTTCTGATATCTGGCAGAAATGAGTTCCAGAGTCGGGGAGCAGAGCAACTGAAAGCTGTTTCCCATGCTGATGAGGCGGGCAGAGGGAACAATAAAATGGGTGGCAGATGAAGATCTGAGAGATCAGGATGGAGAGGCGATGTGAAGCGGGCCACATAGATAGGGAGGGGCAAAATTGTAAATGCATTTTAAAGTGAGCAGCAGAATTTTGAATGCTATTCGAGTTTCTATGGGCAACCAGTGAAGCTGTTGTAGAACTAGGGTAATATGTTCCCCGGAGGGGGTACGAGTTACAACTCGAGCTGCAGCATTCTGAAGTAGTTGGAATTTATGGAGGGACTTGTTAGGAAGACCAATATAATAGCATGTGACCACAAAACTCATACAAACAGAGTATTTACATAACACACAGCCATTTAATATAACTCTCAAAGTATGTGCTTTCTCGGACATAATCTGGCAGATAGCTGGAAAGGACATCATCTCTTGAAATGATATACCTTCATATTTACCACCAAACTTTTCACCCATCGATGGATTGTGGATGCTAATAACATCATGATCATGTTTACCCGCATGCTGCATAGATCTACGCAAATCTATGTTTACATGATCTAGATTCTATCCAGATTGACAGATAATGTGCCTGGTCCTCTTGGAGAAAACAAGTCCTCCAAATACTAGCCATTTCCCGGGTTTTGCATAGTAAATCATGGTATTGTGTCCCAGGGTATAGGCATTTCAGGATATGGAAAGCATCGGGAGGATTACAGGGAGAGTGCTGGGGTGGTCTCAGTGTCCGACATGACAGAGGGGCGTTTTGGCACACCCTGCACTTTGATCAGCTGGCCCTGGCCAAGGCCAATGGTACATGTACGTAGGAGACTAAGGAGATCTTTGCGGAAGCGCACACCAATGAAGGCGTAGAGGAAGGGGTTGAGACAACTATGGGTATAGGCCAGACTTTGAAGCACCTGGCTAGCAATATCAAATTGACGGAGCATCTTGCAGTCAGTCATGGTCATATTGGCCGCCTGGCTAGCCTCAACCACCAACGCGCCATTGTACGGTAACTGGGATAGGACAAACACCGCCACCACTGCAAAGATCACTCGCAGGGCCTTGTGCTTCTCAAAGTTCTTTGCCTGCAGTAGGGTGCGGATGATCACCGAATAGCAAAAGCACATGACCAGGAAGGGCAGGCAGAAACCCATGCAGATCTGCAGGGACAGAACTAAGATCTTGGTGATGTTCTTTTCATTGGCCCAGTAGACCATGGAGCAGGTGGGTTTTTCCTTCTCTGCTTTAACTTGGGCGAAAAGGAATTCAGGGATAGCTAAAAGGACAGATAGCATCCAGACACCAAGGCAAATAAGCTTGCTGTAGAAAAGTCGCTTCATCTTGAAGTTCTGGGCCTTGGTTGCTCGTACGATGGCTATGTATCGGTCAATGCTGATACAAGTAAGCAGAAGCATGCTGCTGAAGAAGTTGATCTTGTAGATGGCTGACACAATCTTACATAAGGCCAGGCCAAAGGTCCAGCCAGTGCTAGCGTCAGTAGCCCAGAATGGCAACGTCCCGAGGAAGAGGAGATCAGCAATGGCCAGGTTGAGCAGGTAGACATCTGTCATGGTCTTCAGGCGATTGCGGACATGAACGTAGATCCACACCACCATCAAATTCCCAACGGCTCCAAGGACAAAAATCAGCCAGTAAAGCGGGGGCTCATAGTAACCCCGGAACATCCGAACGGAATCTCTTTCACATAGCCCAGTATCTTCCAAGTCAAATTCATCTTTAGTCTGCAATAGAATATAGAATAGTGATATTTTATTCATCCACATGGGAAAATTGTATTCACTTTATCTGATCTTACACTCAGTGAGACACAAAGATGTATATACAGATGAACGAAAGTTACAGGTTTAGCACACAGGGTCTGCCAGTGTGTAGAGCTCATACTTGCTCAAGGGCCCAACAGTGGTATTACTCTACCAGCTAGGGGAACCCTATCCTATCCCACACACCACATGGCAACAGGATTTATAACAAGCCTCCTAAATGCAGTTTTTAATGAAGGTCTCTGTATATCTTTATCAAAACATGTCTGAGTATTTTTGAAGAACATCCATTGATATCACTCTTTCATCAGCTTTTCAGGGGTAATAAAAATACAGTAATAAGATAATATACCTGCCTAAAAATGTTGTTAGTCAACAACTCCTTGGGATACATCAGGCACAGTCAGTTTCATAACACGAAAACAACTTCTTTAATATCAAACCTTGATGTTGAGTGACATCCTAATCTAGTCCTGACTATCACAGGTGCTCCATCACCAAGTCAGACCGCAGCTTCTAACCACTTCCGCTCTTGCCCCATATGCGACAGTGTGAGACTGCGGCACCGGAGCTACCCATGCTCCCTCAGTATGTGTGTCAATAAGGTAGCACACCAGCTTAAGCTCCATAGATGTGGAACAGAGATTAGCTGCAGGTTTCTGTGCTGGGCAATGGAAACAACGGTCCATGGACATTGGTTTTTTGAAACAGCCTTATAGTTACACCAGTCACTTTGAGAGAATGCATGCATATTAGGTCGAGGCATGGAAAGCACTAACGGTGCATGTGGTTTCAGAGCACAAAATGAAACACGGAGAATTTTATTGGAGCTTTACCCTGAAACTAAAACAATATGCCAGGCCATGTGTAATATCAACTAGCCTCTAGGAGGCAGTGCCGCACTGGCAAGTTCTCTTTACGTGCCTGGAGAGCTTAACTACACCCAGGAGAACGTCTCTCCTCTCCTAAATGCATACATGACCAGACAGACAATATATAAATATTTCTGCATGTTTCCTATTCAGGACTAAATTATTCTCCTTACTTTTAAAAAATATTTCCTGGTTGTTTTTTTTTTTTGTGTGGGTGTGATATTCACCCGACATGGCTTCAGTTAAATTATCCCACAAACCAAGTAATTAGAATCGCTCTCAAAAATACCTACAAAGTCACTTGCTGTCAGATAATCAAATGTTGTCACGTCATCAAATCCACTTGCCATCATGTCCTTGGGATGAAACACTGAAGAAAATAAATAAAAAAGATACATATTACATCATTGAGATGAATTACCTTATGTGTGCAAACAAGGGAGCTACAGTACTTAAGCTCCCCCCCCCCCCCCCCCGACCCCCTACCCCAGATACTGTAAAAACACCAGGCACTACAGAACATTTCATGGCTATTGGCGCATCTGTGCGACTACAATTTGCATCAAAAAGCAAAATGCAT